CTCAGCCGGTGTTTGAATCAACTGGGAAGATTTTTTTTTAAATCCCGATACTCAGTCACCTCTGGGGATGGGACACAGGCAGTGGCATTTTTAAAGCCCCACAGGTGATTCTTCTGTGCACGTGAGGTTGGAAACCATTGCTCTAGACCCTGCCTGCGTCTCCAGCACACACCTCCCGAAGCATACCTCCTACCCAGCTCCAAACAATCCAACTGTGCAGTCATCTGCATCTTCCTAAGAATTCAATGCCATTTGATGCCTTCATGTCCTTATCCACATTCTGCTTCCTCTGCCCAGAATGCTCTCATCTACCCTGTTTAGGATGGCACCCAAATTTGGGGGTGAGAGGCCTGGATGGTGATATCACAAAGCAGTCTGTGGGATGAGGTTTGGATGGGGATCGCTCCTGGGTAAGACAGGACTGAGTCCCCCAGGAGTGCCAGGTGGGATGCTGAACCTTTACGTGCCCAGACAGGACAGGACGCCACAGCAACCTCCACCCAAGGAAGAATATGTGAGGAGCAAAACAGCTCTGGGTGGCCAGGCCTCCCCAGAAAAGCTGCGTGCCTTGGTTAGCTTTTCCAGGTAACCAGCCCTCAGCCTCCTCACTAGTAAAGCAGGGATAATTACGGTATCTACTTCACAGCATGGTTATGGGAATTGGGGGAACTGATACACATTAAGAGCTTAGAAGGCCGAGCGAGGTGGCTCACGCCTATAATCACAGCACTTTGGGAGGCCGAGGCAGGTGGATCATGAGGTCAAGAGATCGAGACCATCCTGGTCAACGAGGTGAAATCCCGTCTCTACTACAAATATAAAAATTAGCTGGGCATGGTGGTGCATGCCTGTAGTCCCAGCTACTCAGGAGGCTGAGGCAGGAGAATTGCTTGAACCCAGAAGGCAGAGGTTTTGGTGAGCCGAGATTGTGCCATTGCACCCCAGTCTGGGTAATAACAGCAAAACTCCATCTCAAAAAAAAAAAAAGAGCTTAGAATGGCATCTAGCACATGAGAACCATTTCATACATGTCACTTTCACTGCTAATATCATGGACAGAGCCTATAAACATTTCATAATAGAGTGTGTATAGGTAAATTACATTGAACGTTGCAATGTCTCATATGCTGTATGTGCTTAGCACTTTATTATCTCATTTAATCCTCACAATAGTAATGATGTATTATGGGTGCTATTACTATTATCTTCATTTTACAGATGAGGGCACTGAAGCTCAGAGTGGTTGACACCTTGCCCCAAGGTCACACAGCTAATACATGACTGTGCCGGAATTTGAATTGGTTCCAAAGCCTGTCTATTTCTCACATCTGTCACTTCATTGACTCTTCACAAGTCTGTAAATTGGGACTCCTTCCCATTTTATCGATGAGGACATGGGCTCAGGAAAGTTACAGCAAGTTGCCCAAGATGACACAGCAAGGAAGAGGCAGGTAGAGTGGTGTTCAGATGGAAGGCTGACTTCAGAGCAACTGGAGACCTGCAGCGTCTCGCATCTTCACAAAGCTTGTGCAAGCTGTTTACAGAGACCTGAAGCCGTTTGGAGCACTGCCTACAAAAGGAAGTAAGGTTTCTGCCTTTGTCATCCAACCGTTGCCATGGTCTCTGCATGCTTTTAGCAATTAATTACCACTATTACCCGGCTCATTACATTTCTTCTTTCATGTCAATTGCTGGCCCTGGAGCAGGCTGTAGTTTTTAAAAGGGGCAGCTAAACCCACTGCAAAGATGTGCCCCCGCACAGCCACCTGCAGTCCAACCTGGTGTCACAGGAAACCACTGAAGGCCAGGCTCTAGGACCGCTCAGTGCAGTTAAATGCCTGCATCTCCCAGCAGCCACACCTGGGGTGACCTGATGAAGAGACACCCAGTAGATAGAACCAGCCGTCAGCCACTTAGAAACACTTAGAGATTCTGGGTATGGGGAGCCCTGGATGGGGAGTCAGGAGACCATTGTCCAGTCCCTACTGCTGATGACACTGTGTTCTTACCACTGACTCCCATCCCCGACACTGCCCCGGACTGCCCACCCTGGGGCTTAGCATCCACACGCTCACATGCAGCTTTGTGGGGAAGTAAGTAAAGGGATGCTTTTACACCCTTTTTACTGGGTATGTAAGTGCTGACCTTTGAGGCAGCCATGATGCCCTCCGTGCACTCTAAGAAGCAGTCCTCTTCCCCATACTGTGTCCTGGCCTCCAGACTGTGTAACGCCATCTGTGCTTGAATGCAAATCCCAGCAGAAAACGTGGCCTCTGAGCCACTCTACATTCCTGCTGACCTCCTGATGTGGTGGGGGTGAGCTGGAGCTGCGGAAGCACTGGCTGAGTAGACAGTTGGAATTTCATTCTTGGGACCGGAGCTGGGCCTGAAGGGCAGCCCCCAATCCCTGAGAGCTGCAGGGATGCATGTGGAAGGCAAATCTGTGTGCCTAAGGCCGGCCTGGAGTGAAGTGGAGCACGGCCAAGGACAGCAGCTAGGAGAGGGGCCAGCGGATTCTTGTGTTGCCATGTCTGCGTTCTGCAGCACTGCAGGCTCTGGGTCAGGATGCAGCTTGAGGGGAAAGTCATATAAAGTCCATAGCATCGCAGAGCCAGTGGGCCGAGGAGGAGGATGTGGGGGCAGGGGAGACTAATCTTTAGAAAGGGAACAGCTGATCCACTCCACGGCAGTGCATAGAGAGGGGTCACCTGCCAGCCTGGCGTGGTGTCAGGGGAAGCATCATCTCGGCCTTGCTCCAGAAGAAATTGCTGGGATGTCCCCAGGAGCCCAGCAGAGGGCTGGCAGAAGAGGGTGGGCGCTCTGGGGTCCAGAGCCAGATATGGTACCAGAAGAGCCAGGCGTGATGACCCAAACTGAAACAGGAGCTTCTAAGCAGGGCCTAAGGCCTGTGAGGGTACACACGGGTATGGGACCTGGGACTCTGAGGTCAGTGTGATCCCAGGGAAGACTCAAGTCTGGGGCAGCCAGGGAGCTCAGCAGGGCAATGGGCTGAGAGGTTTGGCTCAAAAACGCAGCAGGCCGGTGTGTACAGGCAGCCCCTTCAAAGAGCTGGGGAGAACGAGAGGCAGCAGCTAACCCCCGCCAACCACCGACTAACACTCTGCACATAATGCCCATTCTGCACAAGGAGAAAAGGGCCTGATGAGGAAGAGCCTGTAACACCATGGGTGTGGGGGCCCTGCAGGGTCAGCACCTCCTTTGGGGTTCAAAAGGAACATGGTTTTGGCCTAGTTCAGCTCTGGAGCCTGGCAAAAGGAAAGGCTCACCCAAGGTCACCCTGCAGGTAGGCAGCGGAGGCAGGAGCAGATGACGGATCACACAGTGCCTCCACAGCACCTGGTGGCCTCCCCTCTAACAACACGGAACGGAGAGTGCTGTTTTCTGTCACACATGGGCACTAGCATCCTAAGCACCACGTGCCCCGGGCTGCCTTGCACAGAACATTCCCCCGTCACATTGCTGATGATTTGTCTTGTAATCATTCCTATTAATTTTACCTTTGGAAGGCATCCAACATAGTCAGTCACATGGAATGGAGTCCTCTTCGGATTCTTCAACGTCTTTTGAATCCCTCTTTGGCAAATAAGGAAGCTGAGGTTCAGAAAGGCTAGGTAACTTGCTTAAGGTCACACAGCTAATTAGTGGCAGAGCCAGGATTCAGACCTTTTGCCAAGACCCCACCGAAGCGAGTCAGCAAGTCCATATACTTTCACCCACCCATGAGAGTCTATGGCTGTCTGTTTCTGGCCCCATCCTAGTCATGTAGACGACAAGAGAACAGGCTTTCAGTTTCTCCTTTTAAAAACTGCTAACTTTAGTCTGAAAAGACAAACGCCCTGAAGCTGACCCAACGGAATGCTGAAAATCTCAGGTGGAGAGGCAAGGCCCTTGGCTCTGCAGGCTCCCCGCTAAAATGAATCAACACCAGCTAGACCTCCCTCCGGTTCAAGATGAGATCATCGCCTGAAACAGGAAGCATTGCCTCCCACCAGAGCAGTGTTTGCATTTTCTCTGGAGCAGAGATGGGGGTGGCCAGCCCAGGGGTCTGCACTGCAGAGCATCTTTCCCCAAGGGAGCTACAGATATTGCAGGTGCTGAAGTCTTCATGAAATCGCATTCAGCCTGACCTTCACGAGGAGGCAGGTCCACAGAGCCTCAGTACAAATCTCACACAAAGTGTACAACGACAAAAGAATGGCCCCCCTTCCAGAACTGAAGCATGCATGAACTACGAGGAGAACCCAGGTCAGAGGCTGCACCATCTCACCTGTGAAATGAGAAGGATAAGCAAGGAAAGCATGCACCTCCTTGGGGAGTTTGAACGCGCAGATTAATCCCTGGGCATAGGCGCCCAGTACAGATTAGCCCAATTTAAAGCCACAAAAAATATGATAAAGGTGTTTCTTCTGCTGAAACGTGTTTTTTGCATTTGTCTCTTTACATTTTGAGATTTGATCTCTAATTCTAAAGCAATCCATGTTATTTACTTAAAAAAAATGTAAACATAAACTATACAGAGCAGCATTCACTCAAACCAAAATTAAGCACCTTTGCTAATCCCACCATTTTGTTTAGTGTAAAGAAGTGAATGCATCACCCCTCTCCCCACTGGCAGCAACTATTAACTTCCTGGTGGCTCCTTCCAGGTCTTTATCTGTGTTTAAATAAACACATGTTGACATGTGCAATAGACAAATAATGATCAAAGGCATTCTAAGTCTCTTCCTTATGTAAGAAAGAATAATAAGAATGTTAAATAAGAAGAAAAATTCTAATGTTTTAAAATGTAAGTAGAAAGGGCACCCTGTCAGTGGACTGACCCTGCGGAGCTGCCTGGTGCCCTGGATCAGCAGCCAGCCGGGGCTGCAGGGAGTGGCTGTGACTCAGTCTGACCACTGACCCAGGCGGTCAGGGGAACGCAGGCAGGAAATGTCAGGAGCCCATCAGGGGAATGGGGCTTATCAATGTGGCATCGGTACCTGCCTCTGGGGAGCTTCAAGAAGTGCTCTGCATCGAGCTGACAGGTCCATTAGTTCTCAGCTCTGGCCGTATCTTACTTACTGGACTGGCAATGCAGCCCACAGCCAGCCGGAAGACACGCCCAGATAACACAATCCTGCAGGGTGTGACCGGACATCGTGCCTTTGCTGACAGTCATAATAAATACCAATTGCTGAGTAACAACAGCACAGGGCGTTTCGGGCTGGTATCCTCCTTAACCCCCTCACAACATTATTGACCCCACTAACAAATGGAGAAACCGAGGCTCAGAGGAGTGAAGTGACCAGCCCGAGATCACAGGAGGAGGGAGGAAGGCCAGATTTTCATCACATTCCCTGTGGTCAGAAGCACAAGGCATGGTATCATACTCTTCACATTACCCCGCATGAAAGATCATTTTCTCCCCACTTCGCAGATGAGGAAATTGAGACTCAGAGAAGTCAAAATCTGCATCCTCCCAATCAGAAAAGCCCTATTCTTCCCTTCTGGGGCCCAGTGTGGAGGCAGTGCTGGGAAATTCTGAGAAGGGCAGGTTGCATAACATCCTCGTTCTCCGCCAAAAGCTGCAAACACCCACTTACCCCATTCACGAATCTGGGCAATGAGTGGTGGGAGTCAGGGAGAGATATTTTACAAAATTATCTTCAGTCAGGGAATTTCACAGTATAATTATATAGTGAGGACACCGAATTAGCAGAAAGAGGGGACTGTCAGATGCAGCAGCCACACACCACTGCCTACATCCCCACGTTCGCAGCTGGCTCACAGCCTCCGGGGTGGGCTGGGGAACTCTCCCTCTAGAGCCTAAATACACAGGACTCTTTGACCAATAGACAGACATCACCGGAAGACTCCACAAAGACCTTCAACCCCAATCCCTCACCTTACACGAAGGGAAACTGAGGTCCCAGAGGAGAAGCTCTGTGATTGAAATCACACACTGACAGGGACTAAGGGCCAGTCCACTAGCACCAGCCCCGGCCTCCAGACCCACCCAGCTCCTTCGAAGCCAAGAGGCAAAAATAAACCATGCTCAGGCTTTTAGAGTCCAAAATAAATGCATGTACAGCTCTTTGCATTGTTACCATGGTTATAGATAACAAGGGCTGTGGCAAAGCACAGCAAATTAGTTAATGATGAGAGAGAAACTTCCAACATTGACACATTCTGCATGAACAAACTGCTTTCCTGATTCAGTGGCAAGCTGGACCCTAGTGGCAGGGCAAATGTGTGTGATGAGGGGGAGAGTCATCACAGTGGAGGTGAGAGCAGGCATAGCCTGGGTTTCGGGGTCTGACTCCTCCTTCCCCTCCCGCTCCGTCACCAAACAGAATGTCAACAATGGAAGACTCACGTGATCTGTTTCGGTCATGCTTCCCAGGCCATCAGGAGAGGTGCTGCTTGTGTTCTCTCTGAGACCCACAGGGAGGCAGCAGCTGGCTCTTGGCAGGCTAGGCAGTCAGCACTTGAGCTCAGGAGTTCAAGACAAGCCTGGGCAGCATAGTGAGACCCAAGCTATACCAAAAACAATTTTAAAAATTAGCCTGGTGTGGTAGCATGTGCCTGTATTCCCAGCTACTCAAGAGGTAGAGATGGGAGGATTGCTTGAGTCCAGGAGGTTGAGGGCGCAGCAGTGAACCATGATCATGTCATTGCATTCCAGCATAAGAGACAGAGCAAGTCCCTGTCTCAAAACAACAACAACAAAGAATTTGGCTAAAGGCTCAAGTCTTCCAGGAGGCCTTGCTTGATCACTCAGTGAATTTCCTCCGTGTCCTCAAGCTCCTGAGGTACCTGGCTCCAGTCCTTACTGTGGCGGTTTGAAAAACTGGCTGCAGTTCTTCTCCCTGCTGTATCCACACCTCCTTGCAATAAGACTTTTCTGCTTCCCCGTGAAGAGAAACAGTCCACTTCCCTCCCCTTGACTCTGGACTGTCCTATTGACTCATTTTGACCAACAGAATGTGTGGCTGTGTTATGAATACTGAGTCCTTTGTCTCTGACCCGGGACTCTTGTGTCTTCTGCCAGAATCTATGAAACAGTCACACACTAACCTATTAGCATGTGAATAGGGTAAAAAGTCAAATCTCAGATCTCATACAAATCGGCCTTGCTTTTGCCCTAAGACCGTCGCAGTCTGTGTTCCCTCAGCCTGGAATACATTTCCCTCACCAATCCACGTGACTTACTCTCTAACTTCCTTCAAATCTGCATTAGTCCTGGTCCTCTGAGAAGCAGATGCCGCAACAGATTAATCATTCAAGGCTTGTATTAGGGGAAATGCCTTGCAAAAGGAAATAGGGATGGAGCAGAGGAAGTTGGGGGTTGTGGCGGGATCTGACCTAAAGGGAAGGAGAAAAGAGAGAAGATAGAGTGGAAGCCTTCTCTAGAGCTGGGCAGGCTGAGGAAGTTTTGACAAAACCATCAGGGAGTCCCTGAGCTAAAGTGTGCTGATGAGGAAGTCCCAGGTCTCCCAGGAAACATACCCTTCACACAAAAGCAGTGATGAATTTCAAATTGAAATAGCCATGGCCTTCCATCAGTTATGCTCCCTGTAGTAGAAGGTCTTGCAAGACGCTTTATCATGGCCACCAGAAGGCCTCTGCTGCGATGCCCAGGTCTTCCCTGATCACCCCATATGGAAGAGCAAGTCCCCCTCTGCACCCTGTCATTCTTTTTTGCTTTATTCTTTTTAATTGCTCTTATCACCAGTGATGATGTAATTACTTGCTTACTTGTAAATTTTCCCATCTCTGGCCACGAAAAAGTAAACCTCATGGCAGCAGAAATTTTTGTCTGTTTTGTTCTCTGCTATATCCTAGGACATTGAATGGTCTCTGGCTCTCAAAATAAAAAATGGCTAAACAAATGAGTGAACAAATAAATGAATAAAATAAAAAATGTTTCCCAATAGGTGCTGAAGGGCCACTTTCAAACTGTGTAAGCCCCATGTTATAGGCTGAATATTTATGTCCTCTGAAAATTCATATGCCGAAGCCCCAACTCCCAATGTGATATTTGGAGACAGGACCTTTGGGAGATAATTAAGGCCAGATGAAACAATGAGTGTGGGACCCTCATGATGGAATTAGTGCCCTTATACGAATAGGCCAGAGTGTTTGTTCTCTCTCTCCACATGCAGAGGGAAGGCCATAGGAGCACACAGCAAGAAGGCAGCCATCAACAAGCCAGGAGAGTCCTTAACAGAAACGAAATCAGCCAGATCTTGATCTTGGACTTTCTCACCTCCAGAACTGTGAGAAATAAATGTCTGTTATTTAAACCACCTGGCATGTAGCATGTATTTTATTATAGCAGCCTAAGCTGACTAAGACACCCCAAGTTCAATGTTAGGTAACACTTATCAGTAAGTTTTCAGAACACTTCAAGTAATGCTCCAAAATAAGTATGTCTAATTCTACATAACTTCAAATATCAGCAGGAAGTGGGACCACATTTCTTATGGATGCTACTAGTTGACACAGAGACAGGAAATTGTATATTTGTAACTGGTAGTGACAAGTATATATAGGAAGGGGAAGAGGACAATATCTTTGGTTGAGCATCTAATTTTCCATTCATTTTAATTTTCTGTCTCAAAAAATTCCCATCTCCTGCTGGACAGTTACACCCAGCAGCGCCCCGGAAGACATGGTGTCAGGTGACAGTGGGCTGTCCTTGAGGTCTAATCAGCCCCAGAGCTCTGGGGCAGTTTTCCCTACCTTGTTACCATGGTAACAGAACCCAGCTGCAGGTGCCCACCTGTCACCAATACCAGGGCCAGACTCTGGCTGTCTCTGAACGTGCCTGTCTGTGTAGGGAAGGTGGAAGCAAACGTGAAAAGGCCTTGCATAGCCCCAGGAAATTGTAGGTGGCAGTTAGGAAGCAAGTCCAGGACACAGATCTCCTGACTTTCTCAGCCGGATGCGTGAATCTTCTTGGTGTGTGCACAAAATCCCAAGGCTGCCCTCTTTCTGTGGCAGGCCAGCTGTGAGCATACAAGGGATCTTTACTCCTATAGACAAGCACTGGTGGGTTCGAAATTCAAGAGAGGCAGCCACCATCATTCCTGCTCTGCCAGAAATTCTTAATCTGCGTATTATACCAGAGGCTCAACCCCCAGATATGTTACTTGTTCCGTGTTCACTTCCCAAGCAAAACTGGGAGTCCAGGCTCCATCCTTCCATCCTGTTCTCCCATCTGTTGGTCCCTGCTTACCCATGTGACCCTCTGTCCCCAGAATCAGTGACAGCTCCAAGGAGACAAAAGCCTTGCCAAGATGTCTCAGCCCCAGATTGCCATGCCAGGGCTCCAGGTTCTGTGATCCCTCTTGCTGCTGAGGCCTTCAGGGAGCTCTCCTCTCCTTGTCCAACCCCCAAAGAGAGCCGTTGGCCACTCTGCACCATGCTGTACAAGCTTCCTGGGCCAGGACCCTCCTTCCTCTTTACTTGGCCTTTGCATCAGCCTCCTAAGTCTTCCCTGCCTGCTGGGCCCTGAAGTAATGTGGATTCAGGATCTCACAACACTTTCATTAATGCCACTCTTCTGACTCCTGGCCCAAACCTCTCTCCATCAGGGCTCAAAGCCAATTGGTATGGTTTGTCTCTGTGTCCCCACCCAAATCTCATGTCAAATTATAATCCCCAGTGTTGGGGGTGGGGCCTGGTGGGAGGTGATTGGATCATGAGGGTGGTTTCTAATTGGTTAGCACCTTGCCCCTAACGCTGTCTCGTGATAGAGTTCTCACGAGATCTGGTTGTTTGAAAATGTATAGCACCTTCCCCTTCACTCTCTCTCTTCCTCCTGCTCCACCACGTGAGACTTGCCTGCTTCTCCTTTGCCTTCTGCCATGATTGTAAGTTTCCTGCAACCTCCCCAGCCATGCTTCCTGTACAGCCTGCAGAACTGTAAATCAGTTGAACCTCTTTTCTTAATAAATTACCCAGTCTCAAGTAGTTCTTTAGAGCAGCGTGAGAACAGACTAATACACTGATCTCAGAGTAGGCCAATGGTAATGGTCTTGGGGGAAAGAAAGGACAATCACTATGACATCCCCCCATTCTCCTCATTTCCCTGTCTTTGCATATACCCCTA